GCCTTCATAAGCCAAATTATATTTCCCAATTGTCTGATTACATTCTGCAAACTTCTTTGTCTAGTGGATTGAAAGTCCCTAAATTTATAAAGTTTTCAGAAGATATTAGTGAGTCAACTGTCGAACATGTGGGAAGATACGTAGGCACAATGGCCCCAATATATGACGAGCACTCTAATATCAAAAACCACCCATTTTCCTTAGAATCAAAACCTATTTTCTTTTACCCTTTTCGCATTATTTGTTTAGAAGAAAATAAACAAGCTTAACTAACATTCATCACAAATCAAACTAAGAAGTTCCTATTGAGTACAACAGACGTGAAGAGTGCTAATACCTTCCCTTTATGTAATCGACTCCCGAACTCAAAATGTGGTTGCAATGACCATGTTCTTATATTTTTAAAATGTTTTCTCAATATTTTTCTATTCCTTCATTGGAATGAATAAAGTTCGGTGACGACTCTTTTCGAACCATTCTTCCGTGTCTTTTGTACAAAAGTCGTATTTTTCGAGGTGCGACACCAACCATGGTACAAGATGCCCAAGAATAAGTGAAAAAGTGAGACCAATGCCTTTAACATGAGGATATTTATAATGTCTCATCAAAAGAGTTACATGTTTTGACATCACCATGGTCGTTCCTGCAATGAGGATTGGACATCATAGGTATATTCTCTCCTACATCGGGAAACTCAAGTACTTATTTGTCGATGTGGGTTACTTTACCAAGTGGATCGAGGTAGAAGCATTGACAAACACCACAACAACAAATGTCCTAAAGTTCTTCAACAAAAAGATATTTTCTAGGTTTAGGGTCCCCAAGCCATTGTTACATATAATAGAGCATAATTAATAAATAGGAAGTTGAAAAATCTATTAGAAGAGTTGAAGTTCAAGCAATATTTCGCCTTGGTGGAGTACCCAAAAACAAACGGGCAAGTGAAAATGGCCAACTGGGTGCTTTTTAGTGGCCTAAAGTGAAGATTAAAGGAGGCTAAATTCAACTGGGTTAACGAGTTACCACACGTCTTATGGGCCTATCAAACAACTCCCAATCAACTACCAAGGAAACTCCTTTCTACGAGCTTCAAATACAACTGACAGGTTAAACTAAGAGAATTTCATCTAGGGGACTTAGTACTGTAGAGGGTTGACATAGGAGGGAAGAATTCCTGAGATGGAAAAGATCATATCGGGTGCAGACCAGCATTGGGAAATGAGCCTACATCTTGGAATCCCTTGTAAGGAAGCAGATGCTAAGAACTTGGAACATTTCCAAATTAAAACAATATTATTATTAAAGAAGAGGTGTATATACACGTTCCGTTGCTTTTCGTGTAACAATGTGACATATTCATAAATGCAATTACTATTCTGTTATCATTTATATCACGTTATTTTCTGGCTTTTTCTTTCTAGGATATAAGAAGCGGAAAAGATTAAGCACATTTCTTTCTTTGTAGTTGGTGCACCCCCTTCAAAACTAGCTACTCCAAGGGCGTAGGTGGTCGAGCCTAGAGATGTCCACCTCGATTTGAATCATAAATCTAGGGTAGGGATGAGGATCCTACACTTATCCAAGGATGGTTCTCTATGATGTGGAGAAATTGCAATGTTACGACCAAATCTCGTCGATCCCTCACCGGGGGAGCAAGTACTAAGAAGCAAACGACACACACAATAGTGAAAGCTAAACACACCAAATAACACTATAACAAACATCTTTTAATTTACAAAGCAAATAAAAAACAATGAATCAAGTCTAGCGACAAATTTAAAGGACCTATGAAAAGCTTGGAGAACGGGAACACACAAATCTAGCTAACTTACAATGTTTTTGAAGATAGTTTATTCTAGATCCAAAAATTGTTTGTCTAAATCGACCTGCTTCTCTTAGAAAGCAGTTAACTCCTTATAATGGGCAATTTTTTCATCTTCAAGCTCTATCATGATTGCTTGGGCACTTGAAGATGAAGTTTCTAACATAAGCTTTACTTCATGAGAACCTTGATTCTGGTTCTCGAGAAAACCTTCAAGTTCCACCACACTAACGACTATAGTCATTAGAGATCCATACAGGTTCACCTCATCCAAGAAGGGAGACATTTGGTCCAGAGGGTGGCATAACTCAGAAGACTCCATTTCAAAGCTAGCAAATTTTGCCTTGGCGAGTCCATAATGAGCCTTCGAAGACTCGACTTTTTGAGAATAAGCATCGGGGACCGTAAGATCCTCATGGTCAGTTGTAAATTGAGTCACGAGGGAGACCGCACATAGAATTTGGAAGGCCGACTCTTCCAACAAGCGAATTTTCCTGTTTTGGAAAGTTTGCGCACATGAGCATAGTACTTGGTAGAAACACCATCATTTATATCTACCCCGGTCCATGGCATTCGACCAACTAACACAAGTGGAAACTGGAGAAAAGGACTCCCAACACTTTCTGGTAGGTAGATAGCAAGAACAGACCTAGACAACTTCGACCTTTTAGTAGGACTCCCCTAAACAATTGCCTTACCCCAAACTTTTTTGCCCTAGCCAAAGCAGCTCTATCATGATTCTTCTTGCGTCAACGCTCTGAGAGTATTTGAGAAATCACGAGGATTTCTCCTATTGGAGAAAGAACTTCGACACCCTGAGTAGGCACAACACGGGCGAACATAATCTTCTCTTTTTTGAGGGCATATGAAAGGGAAAAATTAACAATTAAGAGGTAATACATACTCACATGTTACACATAACGTAAGAGTTGATTAAGTACCAAAGAGTTCCTTCCTCTTCTTGGTAGACTTTGCGTTTGCGATGTCCTGGCAGTGTATCTCTATGATAGAAAATGAAAGTAAGGTTTCCTTCATCATTTTCTCCTCGTTAGTAAGGGCATCATACGATATAGAGTAAAATCCAATCACCTCTATAAAGTGGTATAAATACCAAAATCATCTCCTCCAATCAACACATCCACCTGACCCTAGAGAAGAGTCGGAATAACATCGAATTCTGCATGCATAATAGGGGAGACATGCATAACCAAAAGGCATCCAGACTTGAACTTTATGCAGCTCTCAATATAAACACGAAAACTCTATTGTCATCCTGACGGAGAGAAACAAGACCATGATGAGACCTTTTCCTAGAGTGGTGGTTTACATCAAAAAGGTGGAAGAAGAGGTTTTTGAACTCCGAACCCATGTTCCCCTAATATTCGTACCATTACTGGAACACAATCACGAATCCTCAAGATATCAGATGAAGTTGCGAGGGAGCGATACAAAGGTGATATAGTACTTCTTTTTCAAATGCAATTAAGGGAAGCTAGACACCTAACTTTTGAAAGATATATACATAGAAATGAATGAAGGATCCATCAAACTTCTTGTATACCCTATTGTCAGTAGGAATGGTCGAGATCAACCAATCCGAAGGCAAACCCACCTTGAAGGTGGCCTCCTTCACAACAACTCCTTGGGTCTAAGAGAAAATTGTCTCTATATACTCAAATTCTACCAAAGAATAATCTCCCGCACCTATTGTCGCCATTAATTCCTCTTGTTGAATGGTTTTAGTGTCTGAATCATAAAATGGGTCAGTTTGATCAAGAGGGAGAGAGCGTAAGCAGAAAGGGTTTCCCTCTAAAGATTGAATAAATCAACCAGTTCCGCGGGCCTTTATCTTAACCAGAACAAGACCCATGTTAAATTCAGTGTGAGCTAAGGAAGCAACCAAAATCTCGATTTCGCTCATCGGCGAATCACCATTATAGCTAAGAGAATCTAATCACGACCATAGTTTCCAAAAGGCGCATTTGGAGAAAGGACATGTGATTCAACGCGTAAAAGATATCTAAAAGTTTAGTGTTTTCGCTACCGCCAAAGATAAATATTTTCTGCTGGTAAGTTTAAGAATCTTGTTTGGGTCATATCTCTTGGATTAACCATGAAAATGAATATGGAAAGATGTAGAAATACCTATAGAAGAGAAAAGAGAAAAGACAAGTCCACAGAAGAGAGGGTAATAGAAAGTCCAAATGCTAGAGTAAGAGAACTGAGGAACAAAACCAGAAATGAGAAACAAACGTAGAATAACAATGGTAGAAAAAGAGACAGTGGGGCCAAAACCATATCTTTTATAAGGAAGTCAGTCACTAATCAACAATTCAGATAAAAAAGAGGAAACAATCTAAAGGAGGCAAAATGATTGTATCATCCTGAGCAATTAAGGATCAAAAGCACTTGAGCACCCTAGGGAGAACATTGGCCTGCTCTCCACTACTTTTTCAATTGATTCCAAGCGTTTTCACTTCTAATTTAAGAAAGATAACGTTCTCAAAGGCAAACCATGATCGATAGGACTTCCTCAACTTAGTGATGCTCGACAAGCCATGGGGAACAATTCTAAGCCGACCAAAAATTCTAAGAGTTAAGACCTAAACTGGTGTCAACTCACTCTAAATGACCTAATGTATAAATGCCATTACATGAGATATTCAAAGTACACTTTTCCGTCCTTCACTATTACTACACTACACTCATCTTAATTTCTAAACCGACTTACATTAGAGTGTTAATCTTCCAATCTTCCAAGTCCATCCTACGATGCCGTATCAAAGATCAACATTAGTGGTTCAAAATTCATCACCATCAAAATACACTTAATTCTAATTCCAGATCGGAATTATATATATATATATATATATATATATATATATATATATATATATATATATATATATATATATATATATATATATATATATATATATATATATATATATATTACAAAAAAATTGGAGGAAAGAGAGACGTTAAATGAATTGGCGGTTCCATATAGCCATTAAAGGGCTGATGGGGTTAAATTGAATAATTTATTTTTCTCTCCTTTCTAGGTTTGCAAAACACGGCATCAACAGTTACAGTCTCATGTGTCCCGTCTTGTCGTAAATTGAATAATTTTTGTTGTTCCTCTCTCAAACTAAGATTAGTTGGAAATTGCAGTGTTACAATGGCTGAGGAAAATGACGCATTCTATGTTGTTAAAAAAGGGAATCTTGTTGGCATTTACAAGTCTTTAACTGATATCCAACCTTTACTTTCATCTTCTGTATGTGAAAATTTTCTCTTTATAAATTTTATGTATTTGAGTGTGAACGATTTCAAATCAGTTATGTTTTTCAAGTGTTTGATTGCATGTTTTAATTCCTTTTTTTCCATGCAGGTTTGTGGTGAGAGTGTAAGGGTTTATAAAGGGTTTTCTTTGCCCGAAGAAACTGAGGAGTATCTTGTCTCACATGGGCTTAAAGGAGCTACTTACTCTATCAGTGCTGCTAATGTAAATGCTGCTAGTTTTGGAAAACTTGTGGCTTGTCCTTATCAGGTTTGAGACACTATTTATCCTTACTTTTGTTGTTGTCTAAAATTTGTTTTGAATTTTCCTCTTATATGGGATAAAGGCCTATGTAGCTGAAACATATACAGACTCTTCGACATAGATAATAATTTGAGAAAATAGGATAATTGGATGTAGCTAAATGTATAACACTACTACATAAATAAAAACCTTTATTTTGTGCGTCCAAAGGCTTGATTTTGGTAACTTGAACTTTATGTTGCAATTTTTGCATTTTCCTCAATGTTGTCAATCATGGATAAAAGAGGGTGTTCAGAGGGCTTGCTACAATGCTATAGCAGCAACTTGTCAACACTTTGTATTAAATCACTTGTTACGGAACAATAGTTTCTTTTTTCTTCTTCTTCTGAACATAACATATATTAATTGGATTCAATTCCAACACAAGGTGTGCAAGAATTAGCTTTTAGAATACACTTACACTTACTAAAGGGATCATAATGGCCAAAACCACAAAACAAACACTTACACAACAACCATATCAGTTTCATAAAATGCAAAACAGCAGGAAAAGCAGCAAAAAACTGCTGCTAAAAGACCAGACCTGCCTCGGTTTATTAAGAAAAAACCGGACGCAGCCAAGCTACACTCAGAAGCTGCAGTGCTACTGCTGCCCCTACACCCACTTTCTGCGGCAAAAACCGATTACTGAGAAGCTACATCGTTGTCTGAGAATCGCCAACCGCTATGCTAAACCGAACAATTGGCAAACGGGAAAAGAAATAATAAACGCCTCTGCACTGCAATAGTTGCAGGCCGCTGCAGGCACAGGCAGCAGCCCTGCCACTTTGCACCAGAGAAAAAACACCATCAAAATAGTGAAATGCAAGATTCAAACCACTGAATGAAAGCATCTCACTCCCTTGTCCAAACTCGACTATAGAAATAGCCATTAGACCACCCTGAAAGTCATAGATAGTATCCAGAATTGTGCCAATTAGGTATAGACAAAATAGCCCATGGATCCCATCACCATTAGTCAAATTTGCTAGGAACCATTGCCTCGACACCATCTTGGTTTTATCCACCATTGGACCCTACAATTGCACTATGATCTTGAAAACATGGTTGCTCCTAACCTTCCAAATTTACCAAACTCCGCTATACTAAGCCGCTATAGCAATGCTATTTGAGAACATTGAATTTCCTCTCTTATTATGGGATTGTATTGCATAATGTTCATTTTTAATTATCATTTTATCTTATAACTTCCTAAGCTAATGCCATTTGTGTCCGGCTAGTTTGCAATTAGACAAAAAATCTCAACTTCATGAAGAGATTGATATTCTTTCAGGATCCATATTCTTCTAGAGGAGGAGCTGTTGTGGTCAATTCCTCATCAAAGAGCTTGCAAGGTGCATTTCAAGTTGATGATAGTGTGAGTTATCAGAAAATATTCCTCTTATATTCTATGGAATAAAGGCTTCTTTATTTGTCCAAAATAACTTTTTCATAAGGTTACTTTGAATACATGGGTTTTCATCCATCATTAACATTATTTTTGATAACGTCTACAACTTTTTTTCTATTTTGTACTGATTATACCAATAGTGTCATATCTCACAAATTTGTAATTGGAGAAGCATTTAACTTTAAAAAGACATCAATTTTCTAGCAGAATCCTAATTCTAATGGAGGAAGAACAATTATGCCGAATTCCTCGTCACAAAATTGTACCAAGCAACTTGATACTTATGTGAGTTGTCAAATTTGGAATATCCTCAACCAATAATTCCGGTTATTGATTTGAGTAACACGTACTTTTATTTATACAGAAGGGAGGTGGATCATTTTCATTTTCAACAAATGTGCAAAGGAAGCATTGTATAAGTGGATTACAACTACAAACAGAGTTGTCTACTAATACTTGCGTAAGTTTTTGTGTTTTGCGTGGTTAATATCAAATGTCAGCTTAATCGTTAGAGATTGACTTTGTAACTTAAGACCAGAGATGAAGTTTGATGAAGTTCAAATCTGTCTCTTTACACAGACTATTTTTTTAATTTTTTTAATTTTGATTACCTTTAAATAGAGGTTTACATAATTTCCATTTATCTATGAAAAAGATAACGCAACTACAAAAACTATTACAGATTTCTTGTACACTTAACTTTGATGGCGCATCTAAAGGGAATCCTGGACTTGCCGGCGCGGGAGCAATTTTGAGAGCAGATGATGGAAACAAGGTGTCTATTTTGTACCAATAATATTATGTGAATATGTGAAAACAACTTACTCTTATCTCTCCATAGGTCTATCGTTTGCGTGAAGGAGTTGGTACTGCTACGAGTAACGTTGCCGAATACAGAGCCTTGATTTTAGGACTAAAAAAAGCTCTCAAAAAAGGATATAAGCATATCTGTGTTAAAGGAGACTCCCTACTTGTTTGTAATCAGGTTTGTTATTGCTAATAAATACAAAGTATCCATCAATATTGTTAAGTAGTGGCGCAATAGCCTCTAGCTTAGCAGAAATCTTGAACCTCTCCACAATTGCTGGTATGCACTATTCATAATACCAATGTTAACGGAGAAAGTAGTAAAATAAAACATATCATATTCTAATATTGGAATGTTAACATCCTACCAAAAATATTAAAATATATTTTAATATGAACATATGGTGATATAACTAATTACAACAACCAAGCTTTATTCCACTAAGTGGAGTCGGCTACATGGATCGGTTTCTGCCATAATGTTCTATCCAAAACCATATTTTTATCTAATTTGTTAAATTTGAGATCTTTTTAAATAACTTTTCTTATAGTTTTTCTAAGTCTTCTTCTACCTCTAACTATTTGATCCCTCTCCATCTAATCTACTTTCCTTATCACAGAATTAAAATTTTTTTTCTCTACATGTCTAAATCAATGAAGTGTATTCTGCACCACTTTTTCTACTATAGGTGCTACCCAACACTCTCTCTGATATTGCCATTTCTAATTTTATCATGCCTAGTCTTACCACACATCCAGCATAACATCCTCATCTCTGCTACGCTTTACTCGTGTTGATTCTTAAGTGTCCAACATTCTGTCCTATACAATATTGTAGGTCTTACCGCAGTCCGATAAAACTTTCCTTTCAACTTGAGCGGCACCTTTCTATCACATAAAATCCCTAAAGCTCTCCTCCATTTCAGCCACCTAACTTGAATTCGATGGTTTACATCCTCGTCTATTTCTCCATTGTTTTATATTACATACCCAAGATATTTAAACCACGCGAATTGTGGGATAAAGATAATATGATCTTCAACTTTCACCTCTAGGTTAGAAATGCTTTTCCTTTTGCTGAATTTACATTCCGTATATTCCATATTACTTCTGCTTAGGCGAAAACCATGCGTTTCTAAAGCTCGCCTCCAAGTCTCCAACCTCTTGTTTAAATCCTCCTTCGACTCTCCTAGTAGGACTGTATCATCTGCAAAATACATGCATCTCGGTGCTAGCTCTTGGATGTACTCACGGAGCACATCCAAAATTAAAGTAAAAAGGTAGGGGCTTAGAGTTGAACCTTGCTGCAAACCTATTGTAATGGGGAAATCATCTCTCCACCTTGTGTCCGCGCGCTAGTCGATACCCCTTCGTATATACATGCAATCCTAACCCCTTTTTTCTCTAAGACTTTTCACAAAATCTCTCTAGACACTCTATCACACGCCTTCTCCAAGTCAATAAAAATTAAGCGCAAGTCTTTATCCACACCAGTTCACGAAAATGTGGGAATCCTTGCTTATTTTTCACTGCATTTAGGCGGCCATGCAGTGGCTCTTGCTCTTTTGACAATATACTCAAGCCATACAGTACGTTGCTTACAAACAACGACCTAACATTCACATTATTTCGTAGTTGATGCACGTCATAGAGATTCGATAAAATTTTACGTTGGCTGTCGAAGTTCTAACACAACCCTCTCCTTTTATCCGAGCTTAGGACCGGCTATGCATAGCAAAACTATCATAAGCAGGATTAAATATTTGCATCCATGAGGAGTTGAATTCCAAACATCTTCCTCAATATCTCAAGCGCCTACCATTAGGTTAGGTTGCTTGTTGCTACACAAGGATTTTTCAAGAGATCATCCATACTAATACTACTCTTGTTCAAACATACTTATACTTAACTGTAGAGATTTGATGGGATATAATGTATTAATTTTGGTATGATCACACGTCATAACTAATTAATATAACTAATTAATAGTATAAAAATGTAATTATATAGTAGTTAATGTGTTAGGGTCCCACATTACTCATATAGGCCACCCTTGCAAATGTGAATTATAGTAAGCTATAACCCATAGGTATGGGGTACTCGGTGCGGGTATTGATACTGGTACGGGATACGGCATTTAAAAAAAAATCAAGGTACAGATGCTTTAATAAGAAATAAGAATTTTCTATAAAAGGTATGAATAGAGAATTAAATTGTTACGTTTATAACAAAGAATTAAATTGTTACGTTTATAACAAAACACCATTATAAAAAATTGAAAAAACAAAAAATAATATTAAGATACTGTAAAAGAAAATTAAAACACATCAATATACTATATTGATAGGTGAGAAAACCATAAATTTCATTTAAAATCAAATAATGATAAAAAATGAAAAAAAATGAAGTACCATGAGTATCTGATACTCCCTGTCCGGTACTGGAACTTCGCCATTCTAAGTAGCCATGTTTGAGATAAAGTAAGGCTAGATAGGATATAAATAAGAATAGAGTATCACAAATTTTTATTATAGATGAGAAAGGGTTTTTGATTTTAGACAGTATTGAAATTATTTTATTGTGTTCTTCCTAATTCTTTTTTCTGTTTGAATCCCTAATAACAACTTCGGCAATGATCGATGATTATTTTACTATCCATTATTTTAAAAAATAATATATATATATATATATATATATATATATATATATATATATATATATATATATATATATATATATATATATATATATATATATATATATATATATATATATATATATATATATATTGAATTATCCTATGAAAATACCGACACTTGCCTTTACTTTTTTTCCAAAAGAACTGCGTGTTTCTCGAATCAGTGTATAGAACGATAGGTTTTAGAGTAGAGTGAAAGAGTTTTGTGAATTTAGTAGTTTCTTAAACAGAAAATTGATTTGTTTTGTGAATTTAGTAGTTTCTTAAACAGAAAATTGATTTTAAACAATAGTGTCACAAATTTGACTGCCGAAGCGGTTCCTTTGTATGCATCTTGAAGGTCGTAAAACACTATTGATCTCACGATTTATCGTGACGATCCCATCAGTGCCTACCAATTTTTGATTCTGGTTAGCCACAAACTCAACAAAGACACGATCCCATCAGTGCCTACCAATTTTTGATTCTGGTTAGCCACAAACTCAACAAAGACCGCAAGATCGTGGAAATATGCGATTCTTCGTGGAAATATGCGATTCTACATTCTTAATTGCAATTTTGACTATCATATTACCTGCTATAAGTTTTGAACTTTTTATACTTTTTCTAATCATTTTACTCTCATTTGTTATTGTTGCAGATTCATGGTTTATACTTTTCTAATCATTTGTTATAAGTTTTGCTTTTGTTGCAGATTCAAGGTTTATGGAAAGTAAAAAACCCGAATATGAGTTATTTATGCAATGAGGCCAAAGAGTATAAGAATAAGTTTCTGTCCTTCAAGATAAATCATATTCCAAGGGTAACTAATTTCAGGATTTTTTAATTTGCATGCCTATCTACCAAAGAAGTAATGTGATCCTAATGTTTGCATTAAGTTAGAAATAAAAAATGCATATTCCACCTTTTAACTAGAAGATGACCATGCTACATTCATTGCTCAAGACATGTACATAATATTTAGAATCTATTCATAAATAACATGTCTTTTTTATGTTCAAGGAATATAACCGTGATGCTGATACTCAAGCAAACTGCGCCGTTAATCTTAAAGGTTAGACCTCAATACTTTTTTGAGTTGGCTATATGTTGCAATTATATATTCATATATAGTAAATTTTAAGGGATTTTGAACTTTTGCAGATGGTGAAATTGAAGAATACTGTGAGATAGAATAATGATAAATCAGTAGCATGCATAACTTATGTTTTTGTCTTCTGTCAGTGAAAATTGAAGTGCATTAGTAACAATGTGTAAGCTAAATTTCTTGTATATAGTTTGTGCATACCGTTTGATCATTTGTCTAGTTATCTAGTTTCTTTCAGATGTTTGACGCATAGTATACAAGTTTTTCAATGGCATAAATTAGAAAATGACATAATCTGTTTTTTTTTTTTTTAAATTGTTTTTAATAAAATAAATAGAAAACTATTTTCCCTCAACCTCTCAACGCCTCTCCTTATTGTCACCGCCATAATGTCTCAGCCTAGCAATAGTGTCGTCATGCTATGTCTCATCGTTGCAAATTCTTTGGATTTCAGTATCTTGCACATGCTGTCTGCCTTCTTGCCGCCATCTCCGATTGATAATTGATTCAGTGTGATGAAAAACATGATAAAAATTGATTATAGAAAATTCAAATGATAGTAGGAAAGTTGGATTGAAAAAACATAATATATAGTGTTTCAATCGGTTGTTTTAAGCCATAACAAAATCAAAAGAAGATAGAAATACTTTTCCCCACGTTACGGGGTCTCTTCCATAATTTGAAAAGTTAAAAATATCTTTTATACATACTCTAGTAATTCTTTCGCATCTCATCTTTGGCAATGAAAGATGTATTTTTAAAAATTTTCTAAGGTGAATTCGGAGATGCATATTTGAAAATCCTTGAATTCATTTTAAATTGCGGGAAGCTTGTTTATTGCACATCACAAGGGATGTTTTGAAGATGCATCTTTGAAAACACCAAATGCATTTTAGATAGCAACATTGTCTAAAATTTGTTATTTTTTGAGACCAACTTATATTTTAGGTTATTTTAAGTCATATATTAGAAAAAACACACACTTATTGATTCAAACATGCTACACATACATTTAAAAAGTCATTCATTAATCAAAGTAAATTTACAATGTACTGACCATACATAACTTGATCCGAAAATACAAAAAATAATACAACGAAACATAACTACTGAGCATGTCTACCCCTTGACTTCTCCGTTTGTACTACAAGACATTATGTGTCTCGACAATAATGTCTTCTGCGAGGGCTATATGGGGATTGCCTTCCTCAAAAGTCATGCCTCTATGCCCGATCTCTCCATCTCAACAATACTCGGACAGACGCTGCTTACGACCTTGGTGTGGTCATCCATAGTCTCCAGTACCTCCTGATTAGAAGACCTAGATGGTCTTCCAGGAGCGTCTAATGTCATGATAGGATGTGACACCCTATAGAACCATGTCATATAGTTGTTTGTATAAGCCCAATGTACAGGAGCTGACACTCTACGATAGTCCTCTGGCATCAAATGACTCTCGAAATCCTGAAAAAGGTCCAAAGAGCAATCAAGGGTTAAAACACGTTAGGATCTACGAACCCTTATGCTTGAGGTACTGTGTAGTGGTATAATAATAAGAGGCCTTATGGGTGTTTCCCTTGAAAATCGGAAAACAACCGCTGATCTTCCAAATCTAACTTTGGTGACTCACAGGATCGATCGGATTGATCCTAGGACATGTGCTAAAGGCTTTTTGTTTTGGAAATCTATCTAAGTTTCACACTTAAACAATATTGGGGTAAACGAATCTAAAGAAACACCTTGTTCGACTACAGAATAACTTAAAAGATAAAATAAAGCTTTCAATAAAAGAAAGAAAGAAGTTTGTTTGGAGAGAGGAGATTAGATTAAGGGTGAAGAGAAAGGAATTACATAAAAAAAATAGGCAAGAAGGAAAGTAAGGAAGAAGGGTGCAAATAAAGTAAAGACTTTGTAAAGTTTAAAGCAAATAAAGTAAATTTCATTAAGGTAAAAGATGGTGTGCTTACATCACGTACATTCTCTATAATACTCGTTTTCTCAACGCTCGGATACTTGGAGTAATTCTAAGAGTAATTTGTACAATGGTAAATTACAACACACTTTGTTCATGTCTAAGACATCCTATTTATAATAGTAAAAAATAACTTCTAATAACCTCCAACATCACCACCTCTCGCCACTTGTCATAATGCATGGATCTACTGCTCCTAAGGTGCCACGTGTCTTCTCAAGCATTTGGCAAATGAAACCGTTCCCTCCAAAACTGCTAAATTTCAAACCTTCGACAAACCACCAACAACAGCAAACGGTCGAAGTCCTTGCTTCTCTTTTAATCTTGGTAAGTTCTTCGACTCCTTCCTTTAGCTGCCTTACACCTTTCGACCAACTTTTGTTCTCAACTTGTTTTTGACATTTCATCTTGAATTCCTTTCTTTTGCAAGAGGCGTCGAATTTAGGAGCTAACAATGGGCGGGCGAAGGCTTACGCTTATTCCATCATCGTTCACAAGTCTGCCTTTAGATTAAGCGACGTCGAATTTAGAAACTTTTTTGGAAAACAAAGTGATATACCAAATATTTTTTGTTGTTTTATCTTTAGACTTTTTAAATCCAAATAAAAACTAATATTTTTTGTTGCATAGCCACGTTACAACCAAAAGAAAAGAGCTTAATGATCAATGACTGATTATGTATTTTGTGGTACTCATTATATGGAATGCAAAATGTTTCTATAATTTATTCATTTCCCAAAAATGAGGAAAACACTAGTTTTTTTTTAGAGATAATCAGTGAGATTATGATTGTAATGAATAATTAGTTGTTGATCTAGACATGCTTTGAAATCTTACTTTGTTAATTTTTTTTTCATCTTTATGATATGGTTTGGTGATAGTTATAATGCTGATTATGAACTTGCATTACAAAGAAAATCATGTCATGAAACCCTGCTTTCTTTTAAAGTTCCTGACCAAGTCATTAAACTTCTTATGAAACATGCATTTAAAATTTTTTTGAACCATTTAAATAGATTTTGTTTGAGGAAAAACAAAAGGATAAGTTGGTGAGAGATGATAAGTACCAAAATTATGTAAAATACACATGTATTTATTAATTTATTTTACAAGTAATCAATTAAAAAACCCCGATTAATCAATGAAAATTGATAAAATACTTGTTTGGATATTTTAACCACACATTGACTAAAAACAGGTAAAAAGGACTAAGAAAACACCAAAGAGACACAAAAGACCTTGCAAAAGCACCTTCCCAATAAGCAAGGCTCGATAATCCAAGAACAAAGTGTTGGATATATGAATCCACACATAAGGTATGAATCAGGTGAGAGTCCAGTGCTTAGACCTAAGATTGTGCAGCAAACCTCTAAGAAGATCAAGATGATCCAAGAGAAGATGAAAGTTTCATAGAGTCTCCAGAAGAGTTACCATGATAAAAGGAGGAAGGGACTTGACTTTCTAGAGGAAGATTATGTGTTTTCGCGAGTTACTCTGATAACTAGTGTTGATCGAGCTTTAAAGTCTCGAAAGCTCACACCTCATTTTATTTGTCATTATCATATTATGAAAAGAGTAGGAGAAGTGACCTACAGAGTTGCATTACCACCATTTCTTTTGAATCTTTATGTTGTCTTTCATGTGCCTCAGTTGAGGAAGTATATTTTCGACCTGTCTCATGTGATTCAAGTGGACAATATGCAAGTTAGAGAGAACTTAACTGTTGAGGCATCTTCTTGAGAGTAGAGGATCGTGAAGTGAAACACTTGAGAGAAAAGGAGATTACGCTAGTGTAGGTGGTGTGGAGAGGACTTGCTGGTGGAAGCATGACGTGGAAGCTTGAGAGTCAGTTGAGGGAGTCGTATCCAACTCTGTTTCCTTCATATTTTTAGAGGGAAAAAACTCTTTAACTGGAGGAAAGTTGTAACACCTCGAAATTTGATTAATCTATTTAATTAAATTATTCGTGTTTTAATTTAATTATTTAGTATGTGGTGTGCTTTTAATTAAATATATTATGAGTTGTATGCATATATGGAAGGGGTGTAGTGAGAGCATCAATGGCGTGGTAGAAGGATTAGAATGATTAAAATAATTTGAAATAATTAGAATTTACAATTGCTTTTAATTAATTAATTAAAATACATAGAAATATAGGTTTTTGATGGAAAATAAGAACTAAGGAGAAATAAGAGAAGCGGTGAACATTTTAAAAAGAGTTGGGCCTAAGTTTAATTAACCAAGGATTAAATTAGGCTTAGAGATAAATATAAAATTTAGTGGAGCCTCGAAAAAATAATACGTAAAGTTAAAGCTTTTGGAAGAAAAAAGGGAGGCTTGGGCTTGAAGAGGGAATAACAAACCATCAACCTAATTCAGAGTTTTGCTGGAAATATGAGGTAATGGGGGAGAAATGGCTTCTATATGGGTGTTTGGCATGAAAGGGTAGAGAGGAAAGACCCTTACTCTCTTTAGGGATTATGTGCAATTTTTATGATGATCGAAGGTGTGATTATCAAATTTTTGTAACTGAATTCAAGTGTGTATTATTCTGTTTATGAGTATGTGATTCTATGCCATTCTTGAAATTTGAAGCTTTGAACATAAACCTGAATTCGATGAAAGTGATGAATAAATTGTGTGTCCAATTGTTACGATTCATGAATTAATTTGTGCGCTATAACATGTTTGATTATGATGAGATGGTTATATGTTGTTCAATTCATGGTATGATGTATTTAAATGTTATAATGAGAGTTGGTTTGATGTATGACGGAAAGGGAATGGGGAAGATAAAGTTAATGTGTGAAAATTGGGATTTTTGAAATTTGGGATGATGTCAATCGATTGACATCTTGAGTCAATCGATTGCATGCGCGAAAATTTAAAAAAATCTGAAAAACTAAACTATGTCAATCGATTAATTCCTTGAATCAATTGATTGCTCTTAGCCAAAACGTGAAAAATTGGAAAGGCATAATGTAATATGGATTAATGTCAATCGATTTCACCCAGATGTCAATCGATTGATGGTAGTTGATTTTTGAAAAATTGATGAGCTAAATCATATTATTTTACCCAATTATTTTTGCCATAACTTTAGTTTCGTAAGTCCAAAT